AGAGGTAAATTGTTATTACAAACTCCTATTTAATGGATTTCAAAAATGTGGTTGGCACAAAGTAGGGGCTCAATGAATATTTAATAAATGAAAGAAATAATGAATATGTTTTACTGTATTGTGCTCATAGGAAAACAAGATCTGAAGTGTCCCCATTATACACAAGGAATTTTCTGTTGTAGCAATTTGTCTTTAAATGTTAATTAACACAAATATTTGTGAGTTATCTGACCAAGCTTGACTTATATATTATTAAGCAGGGCTAAATATTTCTAGCAACTATTTATTTTAGCTGCTAATGTAAAATTCCAAGTTGCTACAACAAATAGTAGTGAGAATATTAGAGCCAACTAAGGCCAAAAATCCCAAGCTTTTGTTTTGAAGGAATTGAACACTCTACAGTACTCTGAGAGAGTATTTATTCATTGGCCATAAGGGAAGGAGGGCCTCAAGTTTTTTTTTTAAGATTTTATTCATTTATTTGAGAGAGAGAAAGAGACAGCGATAGTGACAGAGATAGTGGGAGAGAGCACAAGCGCAGAGGAGAGGGAGAAACAGACTCTCCCCCTGAGCAGGGAGGACAATGTGGGTGGGGCTCAATCCCAGGACCCTGGAATCATGACCTGAGCCAAAGGCAGACGCTTAACTGACTGAGCCACCCAGGCACCCCAGAAGGCCTCAAGTTTTTAAACCTATAATCTAGATGCTCAAAAATACTAATTGTAATTGGGACAATTTTTTTTCAGTTTCAAGACTGTGTTTTAGTGTTTTTCTAACAAATGAAGGTGTGGAAGGGGTAGCCATTTAACTGGAAGCCAGAGAAAAGAAATTTCAGAGATCTTTTGTAAGTAATGAAGATTTTTAAAAAGCTTTGTAAGTTTCACGTATTCTTGCTGCAGATAGACCTGTTCCCCATTCCCCTAAAAAGGAGAAAACAGATGAACCTCAATCTCTATATGAACTTGATTCTCAGTCTGTATTGAACCGTATCAGTACTCAAATGATCTCCAATAGTTAGATGTACAAGATCAATATAGACTAGTCATGCTGAAGAAGGTAGTCTCTCAGAGAAACTGATTCAGAAAGTTAACTTTACTTTACTTATTTGGATTAGTAATACTTGGACCTCATAATTACTTTTTTTGAATATGTTTAAAAAAACATACAAGTTGGGGACTAGCTGGAATTTGTAAGTTTTGCATAGTCTGGTATTGATCAGTTTCTTTCTTTTTTTTTTATTATTGATCAGTTTCTAAAGAGATGGGTTATCTGGGCTTTGAGGACTTCCTTTTTGTTTGCTAATGCATTCTACTCATCTAAGAGGTTTAAGAGATTGACAAAGAGAGCAATCTTGACCTTAAAAAGTCAGAAATATAGGACTTACATGTGTAGATGGAATTTAATCAAGGAAGGCCTTAGCAACACCTGGGAATCTATATATATTGTAAAAGCCATTACCCATCAGAAGTACTAACATTATCACTTATAATACAAAAAAATGGGCATCTCTATTGAAAGGTATGTGATTTAGTCCAATTTATATTTCTTTAGACAGTCACACTGGGGAAACAAAAATAACATAGCAGCCCCTTTAGAGATCACATTATAGTAAAATTTAGTTAAAATTAAAAAAAATTATTTACTGCTCCAGACTCTTCATTTCTGTCTTCTTCTTTTTCTTTAAGATATTTATTTATTTATTTATTTGACACAGAGAGAGAGAGATCACAAGTAGGCAGAGAAGGAAGCAGAGAGAGAGGGGTAAGCAGGCTCCCGGCTGAGCAGAGAACCCAATGCAGGCCTCGATCCTAGGACCCTGGGATCATAACCTGAGCCGAAGGCAGAGGCTTAACCCACTTAGCCACCCAGGTGCCCTCATTCCTGTCTTTTGACAATCCAATCTACACATTATTGCTAGATTAGTTTTTTAAACAGAACTCTAATTAATTATTCTACTCAAAAAAATTTAAAATCTCTTCATTATCTACCAAATTTAGTACTAATTATACCCTGGCATTCAATGATTTCCACAAAAAGAGCCCCAATGTATCTTTCCCAATTTATTTCCTAGTACTGCTCCTGCATATATAAGTACAAGCTCAGTATTCCTATAGGCCCAAATTATTAGGCAATAGTGAATTAGTACTGGTTGCTGCCCTTAGGTACAAGAGGAAAAGAAAACAGCCAGTTCCCTACTACCAGAGAGAGGTTGGGAAATGAACACTATGCCAGTACCTTCTGAAACACAGATCTGATCTGTCATGTTCTTGCTTAAAACTATTATGGTCAGCTTTTTTTTTTTTTTAAGATTTTATTTATTTATTTGACAGACAGAGATCACAAGTAGACAGAGAGGCAGGCAGAGAGAGAGAGGGAAGCAGGCTCCCCGCCGAGCAGAGAGCCCGATGCGGGACTCGATCCCAGGACCCCGAGATCACGACCTGAGCCGAAGGCAGAGGCTTAACCCACTAAGCCACCCAGGCGCCCTATGGTCAGCTTTTTATAAATCTATGCTCCATGGGCCAGGATGCAGTAAGAATTAAAGGTTCCATGAACTTGGACTGGGAAAAAAACTGCATCTTGATTTTTGATAATATCTAACTGAAATTTAACATTATCTTCAATAAGTATAGGATAATCCACAGTAGTATTAGCAGTCCCTCTATCTTTTCACCAACAGAAATATATTTTCATATCACACTGAAGTTTTCCAAAATATTTCAAAATTTCAAAAGTATTTCAAAATACAATTTATACTCATCACTATTTTGAAATTACTTGCTGCCAGATGTTATTTAATGCATAAAGAAACACACATATGACCACATCAAACACCCATTTTTTAAATATTTTTAAAATTTTCAATAAAATTGATTTTGTTTCTATTATTTTATTTTCACATTTAAAAACATTCTGAGATAGGGGCCACAGGCCAGGCTGCCAAAGAAGTCCATGGTGTAAAAAAAGGTTATTTTATTTTTATCTTTGTTTTTTATATCTATTAATTGCTTATAGTAGATAATCTAAATACTTTAGCCTGGAATTCAAAGCTCCTTATCATCTGTTCACACCCACTTTATCATCTTTATCTCTGCCCCACCCCTACCCTTCATATTAATTCCTAGTCATATCAGACAACAGTAATGCTGTCTTATCTGCAGGCAGATAGACAAGTTTTTGGATTAGCCCTAGTTAATAGACAGTAGCCATGCACTGCTTTGGCTTTGCCTTATAGAGACCTCTCTGCCTGCCAAGTGAATTGTTCTTTTAAAAGGCTTGTTTTCACTAATACTATGAGATCTAAATAGGGTTATATTTTAACTGTCTTTATAGCTCTCTCCTAACTTAAATGATTGCTGATAACAGAAGACAGATTCTAAATTGGCAACACACTGCAGTAATCTCTAGGGGAGTAAAGTTAATCTTCGAATCTCAAGTTGACTTAGGTCTTTTTGGGGACAGAAATGAAGATGCCCTTGATTGAGCTCTAAGGTTGGATCCCCAGCTGATAGATGCTGCTGGATGGTAGGGAAAGGGAAGAGAGCCTCAAGGTGGACTTCATAAGATTGAGGGATGGAACTGTGCTGAATGGAAAGGCAGAAATGATGCTTTTCCCATCACCCAGAGTATTTATCCAAAACTGCCATCACTGTGCTCAAGCTTTGCATTCCATCCCCAACTCTCTCATCCAATGACTTCCATCTTAATGTTACAGAGCCAACGACATCAACTTCCTGCCCTTCCTAACTTTCCATCCTTTCTTTTCCTCTCAACCCTCAATGCACTTCAGGAGCCTTTAAAAAATACTGATGCCTCAGCCCCTAACCCCAGAGTTTGTTAGAACAGGAGCATTGGTTTTATTAAAAACAAAACAAAACAAAACAAAACAAAACAAAAAAAACCCAAAAAACCAACCAACAACAACAACCCCCCCCAACCAAAACACACAAAAAAGCTTCTAAGGTTATTCTAACGTGCACATAAGGTTGAGTTCCACTAGTGTCCTTGATGCTATAAATCAGCCACCTTCATCCATGGATTGTCCACTTGTGGGTTCCATGGTACACTTTTACGCCTAAGTTTCCCATCTTTAAAGAAAAGATTCTTTCTGCCCAAATTCTCGCCCCTCATCTCTCTTCACCCTTTACAACGATGCTTTTTTAAAGGGTAATCTACGCCTATGGCCTCCACCAACTCTACTCCTCCAACATTTTACTCTTACAGTCAATACTGTCATGTTTCTGCACCCGTCGTTCTCTCTGCTTCTATCTCCGATTTCTCGGCCAGCCACACTCACTAGTCTTTTAACACAACTTAGGAGTGACTCAAAGGTCACCTTGGAAAGAGTTTCCCCCACTCCTTCCACACAATCAGGGGCTCCTCTTCCATGCTCAGAGGGTTTTCTGCTTTTTTTCTGTCATACATTAAAAAAAAAAAAGATTTTATTTATTTATTTGTCAGGGAGAGAGAGAGGGAGAGCGTGCGCGCAAGTAGGCAGTGTGGCAGGCAGAGGCAGAGACAGAAGCAGGCTCCCCGCCGGGAGCAAGGAGCCCGAGGCAGGACTCGATCCCAGGACCCTGGAATCATGACCTCAGCGGGAAGGCAGACGCTTAAGGACTGAGCCATCCAGGCGCCCCCATAGTTTTACTTTATTACTACTGCGGATTCTCTCAACGTCTCCCACATAACACCATACTTGAGAAAGCTAAGACTGTTTCATTTACTTCTGACTTCCTAGAGTCTGAAGCACGAGAAAGCACTTCGTGAAAAGTCTGAAAAATGAATGGAAAGTCAGACTAGGAAACTGAGGTCGGGGGCGGGGAAATGCGGGGGAGAGGGCGTGTGCGTGGGAAGGGGCGGGGGCTAAGAGGGGCGGCGCTGAGAATCCAGCACCAGAACTGGGGAGGGGGCAAGGATATGCCAAATCTGCGAAGGCTGAAAAGCGGCTCCCTGCCGGGACAGACCGCCCGACCAACCAAAGTGGGGAGGCGGCTTCTTACCTGCCTCGGGCCTCACCACCCCAACAAGCCTTCAGGCACCTCTGTGTTGGCCGGAAAGCGAAAGCTACGGTCGCAAACCCAGAGTTTTTTACCCCAACCTTGCGACATTCCTCTCTACTAGAGTGAGAATCTGAGGCACGGTTCCGAGCTCTGCCGTAAGGTGAGGAAGAAAAGTCTGGGCGGGGCCGCCTGGGGCGGACGAATGGGGCGTGCCCGCGCAGGCGCCTGAGGTACTCTCTGGCGGCGTCACGTGCGGGGGCCAGGCCGGCAGGCAGGCCGGCTCCGGCTGGCGGTAGGGGGCGTGGGAGGTAAGTGCGCGCGCGCCTGCTCGTCTGCAGCCGGAGAGTCGCGCGGGGCGGGGCCGCGTGCGCGGGGTCGGGGGCGCGCGGGCCTGAGCAGACGAGGGACGCGGCGGCGGTTGGCGGTGGCTGCTGAGAGTACCGCAAGGACTGTGAGAGGAGGCTGCGGAGGTACCCGCGGCACCCGCAGAGACAGCGACAGCGGCTGAGGCGGCGGTCCGACGCGTGCTCTCTGGGCGGGGTGCGGCGGGGTATGTGCCTGCCCCGGCCGGGCGGAGTCTCTCTGACAGGGCGGGGGATGCGCGGCGGCTGCTCTCTCGGACCCTGAGGCTGCTGGGCCCACCCTCCCGGAACCGTCCGACCCTCGGTGGCCTTAGCCTCTGCTGTCTCCGGCGGCCTGACCCTGGGGCCGCGGGTGGGAAGTGGCTTCTGGCGAAGAGGAGGGGGCTGTGGTGGCCACCGCGGCGGAGCCCGAGGTAAGACCCGCCCAAGCCGCCGAGCGGCCCTGCCGCCCGGCCCGGCCCACGTCTCGGTCTCGCTCTTTGGCTCCTGCGGGGCCGCCCCGCCCCGCCCCAGCGGAGACGCCCCGCGAGCGGGTCTGCCCTGGAGCCTCCCAGACACGCGATCGCGGCGCCGGGTCCCTTGTAGACCCCACCCAGCGTATCTTCCATTGGCCGGACACCATCCCGGACCCGCCAGCCCCGGCCGTTCTGGGGCCCCCACCCCAACACAGCCTATTAGAAGCCCCCTCGGACTCTCTTAGGACTCTTAATGGAGCCTTCAGACACTGTTACCGCCTCCCGTAAGCTGACCCGGTCACAGTTCTTCCGAAACCCAGTCACGGCCGCCCCCTAACCGATAGCGACCCCCCAGGTCCACGGCACGTCCATCGCAGCCACCCCGTTCCTGCTGACCCCTTCCCTCCCAGCTCGCTCTCCATCAGCCCTACCCACCTCCTCGGCTTTGGGGTAGTCTGGTGATGCTCTCACCTCCCAGGGGATCTGTTCAGCACCTCTTAGACATCATCAGACAGTAGCTCTTCCCCAGCCCTTCTCTCGGGCAGACCTTGTTATCTTTCTCTTTTCTTTGGTTGAAAGGGTTTTCCATTAAATCCTGGAGGGATGTTTGCTTGATCTAGTGTCTCCCCGCCCCCCACCTCGCCCGTGGGGTTTAAGGGGACCAACTGACACCCGTGTTTGGAGGGTTTAATCTGGTGGCTGAGAAGGGAGGGACTGGGAAGAGTGTGGAAGCCCAGGGCAGAGGGTGTGTGTGTTGATAGGTCACACAGCCTGCTTCTCATCTCGTGTCTTCTGTAGAACGTGTGACTTTAAGGGACCTCTATAAGGATTAAATCACATTACAGTAAGGGATGTGACAGTGTCTCCATGTAATATCATTCGCTTCACCTTCCTGTAGATTTTTACGCATTTTTTTCCTCTGTTTTTGAATGATACCGGGGGATTCTCTTTTTAATGTGTTGTTTTGAATTTTCTGGAAAAAAGTAAGTTTTGTGGTTTTTCTTGATCTTTGAAGATTTTGATGTCTGTTTAATAATACATTTCTGCTCCTTGAAGCAAGTACAGTTACCATGCAGTGTTGACTGATGTCATTACCAGCAGCCTTCTTAGCAATAGTGAAATAGTGGATAAAATTTTGTTTGTGGAAGTTGAACTTCTGAGTTGTCAAGAAGGAAATGTAGTGTTACACTAAATGTCCAGTATCTAATTTTAAACGTTGGTATAGGGATGAAGTATAGTGAGGTTTTTGTAGATAGAACTTTTACAATTTTTATTTTGTGTGTGTGAAGCTGAGGAGGGAGAACATCATATTGAAATTATAGGTAATAATTAGACATAGTATAAAAGTCAAGAAATTCAAAAGAATTTGCAGTAAAAAGTTTTTCTTCCCCCTGTATTCTCCAATCACCCATTTTCACTCTTTAGAGGCAACTTTTATTTCCATCTTTATATGGGTTCGTCCTGTGATGTTTTTAGCATACACAAGCCTATACATTCTCAGATTTATATTATTAAATTATACTCTTAAAAAGCACCACAAATACTTTACACTCTGTAGCTTCCTGTACACTCTATAGCTTTCGCCCCTTCACCCCCTACCTCATAGTAGATCCTAGAAATCATATAACAACAGTACATATGGAAATGCCTCATTTATGGGCTGGATAGTATTGCTTTTATGATGTTGAGATTATTTTTAGTCTTTGCTTTTACAACCAACACTACGTGCTTTTCTTTGAAATGTATTAGCTGTTTATGTCCTAAGTAATTATCAGGATTTCAAATTTCCTAGTGACTCTTTTTTTTTTTTTAAAGATTTTATTTATTTATTTCACAGAGAGAGAGAACACAAGCAGTCAGAGAGGCAGGCAAAGAGAGAGGGGGAGAAGCAGGCTCCCTGCTGAGCAGAGAGCCCGATGCGGGGCTCAATCCCAGCACCCTGAGATCATGACCTGAGCTGAAGGCAGAGGCTTAACCCACTGAGCCACCCAGGTGCCCCCCTAGTGACTCTTTTTATTGAATTTACAAAAAAGGATATAACTGAAGTTCTCATTGAATTTCTGAGCTTCCGTGGAGTGACTAGCTTTGGTGGTGATTATGATATTTATCAAATAAGTTATTGAAGGATAAAAAGGATATAAACTATGGCACTGAAATGCCATAAAATCATTTCAGGCACTGAAATGATCAGATTGTCATTTTTAAAAGGTCACCGTGGTCAGTGGGTAGAGTGGATTAAAGAGTAGTCTAAGACTAAAGGCAGGAATATCAGGCAAATGATGGTGCGGGTCTGTATTTGGGTATTGGAAGTAGACAGGACTTCGTGATTTCATTGGATTTGAGATTAGGGAGAAGGTTCATACAAGATTTAGGTTTCAAGCTTGTACCTTTCACTGAAGGGAATTGATACGAGGGAGGAATGGGATTTTTTATTTATTTTTGTCAAGAAAGAAGAATTTAATTTGTGACAAGTTGCATTTGGGTGATTACACTTCTGTCAGATCTTGATGTGCAAGAGGCAGCTGGATTTGTGGCTTAAGTTTATTATCAACCTCTGGGTTGTAGTAGATTTTTGGGGCAAAAGGTATAAATGAGAGTAGAAAAGATTATAGGACAGAGATCCAACATTTACAGCGTAGGTAGAGTTGAATGTCTAAAGCTAGTAAATTAAGTGATTAAATTATTTTAGAAATCTTACTATAAGTATCACTAGTGAAGTACATAGTCTAATATGTGATTTAAGTTTTTTCCCTTAGTTAACATTAGCGGTGGATAGTTTATGAGGGAAATGGAATAAACTTAGATTTTTTTTTTAAACTTAGATTTTCTTTAAAAAAAAAAAAAAGTAAAACCTCAGTAGAAATTAGTACCATAAACCCATCTTTTCTAATCATTTGGATTTTGCTCTGTAGAAGTTGGCTCAGTGTTCATTTGTGGAGAAGTGCAGGATGTTTGAAAATATGGTTGCCCAAAATACTAATTTTCTTAGTTTGCATGATTTTTCAGGTTCTATTAACTTAGTTTGAAATAAATATTAGCGAATTTTGGGTCATGTTTTAAATCTAACATCGACTTTATGTATTCATAAATCTAGAGCTGCTGTGTAGATAGATCCATCTCTTTAGACCTCTGTGAATTACTGCTAATGGACATCTCCACTTGGATTCACATTTCACAAGCACTTCAGCCTTGTACAAAATAAAACTTTTTTTTTTTTAAGATTTTATTTATTTGACAGAGATCACAAGTAGGCAGAGAGAGAGAGGAAGGGAAGCAGGTTCCCTGCTGAACAGTGAGGGCGGGGGGGGGGGGGGGGGGCTGGACCTGACCGGAAGGCAGGGGCTTTAACCCACTGAGCCTTTCAGGTGCCCCTAAAATAAAACTCTTTCTCTGCTTCTCTTTCTTCCAAAAAGAGGGAGACAAACTGCAACAAAAAATTTTGTTTTTGATTCCCTATCTTGATGATGATCTTCATCTCCAGAAGTCTTCAGGAACCTGTGAATCATCCTCCACTACCTTACTACCAGTATCATTAAATCCTGCACATTCTCCCTCATGATATTTCAGATAATTTCTTATTGCTATTTTTGTTGTTTCTACTTTATTTTTTAAAAGATTTTATTATTTAGGGGCGCCTGGGTGGCTCAGTGGTTAAAGCCTCTGCCTTCGGCTCAGGTCATGATCCCAGGGTCCTGGGATCGAGCCTCACATCGGGCTCTTGGCTCAGCAGGAAGCCTGCCTCCTTCTCCTCTCTCTCTCTGCCTGCCTCTCTGCCTACTTGTGATCTGTCTGTCAAATAAATAAAAATCTTAAAAAAAAAAAAAAGATTTTATTATTTATTTGAGGGAAAGCAAGTGAGAGAGAGAGAGAGAGAGAGAGCGCGCGCGCATGAGCGAGCACAAGATGGGGGAGGGTCGGAGAGAGAAGCAGACACCCTGCTGAGTGGAGAGCGCTAAGTGGGACTCTATCCCAGGACTCTGGGATCATGACCTAAGCTAAAGGCAGATGCTTAACTGACTGAGCCACTCAGGTGCCCTGTTTCTATTTTATCTTAACCTCAGATGTCTGTTGTGCTGCTCCTGTAATGCTTTCTAAGTGGTCTTGTTGCTTTCTCTTTTCTGCCTCTTGTTTTGCCTCCCATTCATTCTCTGCACTGCTGTCAGATTAGGTGTTCTAAAATGCTCTTTTCATTAGGCTGTTTCATTTGCAAAGAGGAGACTCAAGTTACAGTAAGTAGTAGAGTGCTTTTTGAAAGGAAACATGCATAAAGGAACCTAGCAAAAGCTAAACAACTTGCTCTCAAGAAGAATAGGAGTTTAATAAATAAAGCTAGAAGCAGGAAAAGACAGATTTCACTCTAGAGCT